TCAGTTAGTATTTTTATTCAATAATAAACAAATTTGTGTTCAACAGAAATCTGAATTTCCTTGAGCAAGTAATTCCTTTTATATATCTTCCTCCTCTTTTTCTTTTCAGAGCAGGAGGCGTATTGGAGACTAATTCTAGTCCGTTGGCTTAAGATAGACACATTATATCAATAGGTGTAACATTTGAAGAAATGCTTTTTTATTAGAAAGGAAAATAGTGCATGATTTTTATGATCACTAATCCTAAATTCATACACTAAACTCAGAGTACAATAGACTGGCATGGCCATGCCAGTTTAATGACTTCAGTTTAGTGCTCAGTTTAATGACTTCATAAAATGTAGTGAACCACCCCTCCCTCCCCGCAACTGCTGCTTCTGCTAATTAGATTCCTAATGTCTGTCAGCAACTGGTGAGATTTGAAATGATTTCCAGAGGATACTGCTTATTCAAACTCATGTTCAACCAACTTGGGAATTACATGTTGTGGTGTGAAGTCAGAATCCAACCCTGCAAGATATACAGAGAGTTCAACACCATTTTTTGCCTTGTGGTTACAGAACTCTTTTAATCTGCAAATGTGTAACCTGTTGAGCAGCTGTCACAGCCCATTTGGATCTTTGAAATTTACAGAACAACATACTCAGTGATTTGAACTTTATTTCGTCAGCTCATTAAGAAATATAAGAAACAAACACAAAAAGCAGGGCGCCTTCCCCTTTGTCCAGACTAGTCTATCACATGAATTCATTTATTCATCACTCAAGTAATACAGTTTCATAATTTATAACCTGTAAGTCTTAGTCCATGCGCTTAGGAGCAAAAATAAATAAATTAGTGAGAGTGCTCATCCTTACTCCTCTGTGTCCTTCCTCCTCTGTCACTGTGTGGGTGTCCTCTGTATCACCTGTCACATGGGGAAACACCAAAGCCTCAGCAATCCAGCTGCTCATGAAGCCCCTTCAAAGGCTTGGTTTGTTGTTTTTTTTTTCTTTCCATAAACCGATGTTTTATACCTTCCTTTATAGCTTGGAGGTTTGGTTTATATAATTTCCATAAATTAGCAGATTCTGAAGAAAGGGCCAGACAAAGATGATGGCTGGAGGAGACAGCAATTTGCAGGTGATCATGGCTTCATAATGGTCCTTTAGCTCTTTCTGGCCACCTCTCCTGCCTGCCTGGTGCTCTCACTGCTCCCATCAGGCCTTAGCATGAGTTGTGTTAGCCAAAATCTGAGCAGGAGTGGAGTGCAACAGTCACAGTAGCACAGTTTTCTCTGTGGTAAAACCTTAGATTTTTATCATGCTTTCTAAAATATTTATTTTTAAAGTTCTGTTAGTACTGCCTTATGAAAGAGGATATATGTCTCAAAGTATTATATGTACACAGTGTTATTTGGCTTAAGAAAAGAAAACATCTGCAGTTATTTTAACATGCGTATAATCCTCTGCATTATTCTTTTGATGTTTGTTATGCAGTGTATCAAAGACTAACTCTCATTTGGGTTACTTCAATATTTGTTGAATACACAAATGCAAGCTATGGTGTGTAAATATCTTACCTGTC